TTTCCTTGGTCAGAGCAAGTCACAAGGCTGAGCCTGCCGTCGGTGGGCGTGGAGGTCTGCTCTGCCTGCAGGGACCATGGGGCAGCGAGGGATGACCTCCTGGGGCAGGGGACTGCTCGGACAATGCCCCATCTGCCACCATAGGTCACACTGTTAGGATGTGCCACGTGTGGGGCTTGGCGCCAGCAACTTCACATCTTCGGCTGGATGAGTCCTCATAGCCCCATCTTATAGATAAGAAAGATGAGGCTTCAGGAGCGGGGGAGACTGTTCATTATCTGGTATTATAAATAAGATCTATGCACATATTTCGAAAAGCTCCAAGGGGCTACACCTATCAGGTCTTATTCCTAGTACATCTTTTCTCAGTAGCCGGGGTGAGAAACGGCTGGGTGAGGAAGGGCTGGCCGTGGGTGTGGCCCGTGGGCGCCCACACAGCTGTCGGCCGTGGCAATGTTCTCAGTTGGGCTGGGGAGTCGCAAGCCAGCCGCACCCCCTGTCAAGGTGTTGGAAGAGCCAGCTCCTGGGGGAGCCCACACCCCACCCCTCAGCTCAGCTTGGCCTCGCCCGCCCAGCACTGAGACCCCAGGAATTCTGCCCGAGCCACGCAGGGCTCAGGACACGGGCCCAGAGAGGGCGGGGTCTCCATCAGTAAGTAAGTGCAGCTCCTCTTGGAGGAAGGGATAGTCCCGCTCCGTCCCAGAAGCCGGCGGGTGCGCAAGCTCCTCCTGCCATAAGTCCCCCGGGGGCTGAGCGCTTTCCGGTCTGTTTGTTGTTTGTCTGGGGGGAGCGAAGGAAGAACTTCAACAATCACATGACCTTGTTATTATTATCCTTGTTTCACAGCTGGGGAAGCTGAGGCCCAGAGAGGTTAAGTGGCTGCCCACAGCCAGTGGTCATGCGCTCAACATGCAAACCCGATTGAGGACGGCGTCAGTGAGGCCTGAACACGAGGCCACGAAGACCTGCATTCGAGGAGGCTGTGGGTGGCCTGGTGGGGAAGTGGTTAGAGAATGAGGTCTCTTCTGCTCCTCAGGGTTGTCCCTGGGCCTTCCCAGGCCGCCTAGGTCAGCAGGCCTGTCCTTCGGTGACGGGGAAATTGTAGGTGTGACAGCGATTCTTGGGGAGAAGGACAGAGTCTGGGGGCCCGAGATAGCAGGAGAGAGTACCATGCACGGGGCAGATGGCTGTGCAAAAGGACGGCGTAAGGACACTTGGACATGCATAGGACACACACACACACGCACAGGCACACACACGCACGTTCACATATGCTGCACACACATTACATTCATACCTCTCCAGACAGAACACACATGCCACACACAAATACAACATATACCACACACACACACACACACACACACACACACACACACACACTCCACCACCACAGACTTTTTCTCGGTTTTGACACTCAACTCAGAGAAGGCCTTTTTTTGACTTCAGATTTTGGGAAACGTCATTATTAGGAATAATATTAAAAGCAATGCCGACAACAGTGAGCCGTCCCCGAGACCTTGCTGTGGGTCAGGAAGCCCCTGGAGACTGTGTGGACGCCCCAGTGGGTCCTCGCGTCCTCCCTGGTGTTGTCCCCACTGTAACGACGGGGAAACTGAGGCTCCGTGGACTTGGAGCTTGGAGTCGACGGAGCTGTCATTGAACACGGGTCAGCCTGTCTCCAAAGCTACACTGTGACCGTTCCCTCTGAAGCACAAACAACAAAATCGAGAACGAGAGCCCCACCTCGCTGCAGATGGAGCTCCGGGCGCCCCTATCCCCCAACCCCCGCCCCCGGCTGATTTAGGCTCCGTCTGTGGGCGTGAGGTTGGGGTCGCCTCAGGTTCTCAGAGGCAGTCTGGAGGGGAGCGGGAGGCAGGGCACTGGGGGGCAGAGAGGGTGCGGAAGGACAAGAGGACGGAGCTTGCCCCTGGCACGCCCTCCACCTTTGGAACCCAGGCCTGCCCACCTCCTCAGGGAGTCCAGACTGAGTCTTGTCCCCAGGCCTCGACATCCCCAGGTGGCCTGGTGAGAGGCTTCCTTCCCCTGTGGGGACGAGGGCTGGGACCCTGGGGCCCTGCTTTCCCTAGGGCCGTTCGCCTCACCCCCCCAGCCCTGGGCTGAGCAGGGCCCAAACTAGCCTCTCCCTGTGGAAGGGGATGGAGCCCCCACGGCTGCCCCCTCCTGCCTGTGCACGCTCAGGACAGCGGCCTCTCAGATGCCAATGACAGCGCCTGCGGTAGAAGGCCAGCCCACTCTCTGCAGCCCTGAGAGGGCAAGACTGGAAGCAACCTCTGTGCCCATCCATTGGGGATTGGATAACCACACGCAAATACGTGTGCCTCAGGGAGTACTAAGCAGCCACGAGAACGAGTGAGGGGCCACTACGCATCCAGACTCGGAAAGGAGACCACAACGTGTAAGAGAGAATAAACAGCCCAGCAGGATGTGTAGCATTACCCGTATTGACAGAAAAACCCGAAAGACTTCATACTAAACTCTTGACACCGATTATCTGGGAAGTCGAATCGAGGGGAATTGGGAGGGAGACCATTTTACTATATTCTTTACCTTCAGTCACAGTGAAGACATCTCGTCTTTGAAATTTAAAAAAAAATAAGCCAATGGTGGTGGGGGGGCCTCTGAGCCTCTGCAAAAGATACGAGAACTTGCTTCCCATCCTCCCGTCAGGCAAAGTGGGCGGCGTCGACCTCAGGACCCGGGGCTCTTGTCTCCTCCCTGATGTCTTTCCTCCTGTCTCCCCAAGCGAAGGCACTGCCCCGTGTTTTCGGCAACACTCCCTCGAGTTGGGACCAGGAGGCATTCTGAGAGGCACTGCAGGGACCCGGCCTCGAGAAGCCTGGGGTCTGTGGAGTGGGGCAGGGGGCAACAATCACAGAGATGAAAGCAATCACGGCAGCGAGGGGGTGGGGGCACCGCCAAGCGCTCGGGGCTCTGCCAACAGCTTCCCACCCGGCAACTCACGGGACCCCGACAGTGGTTCTGTGGGTTTTCTCATGTTACCAGTGAGAGGGGCCCTGGAGAGCAGACCCGGCCTCGCCCTGGGGGTCCGTGCCCCAGCCACAGAACCTCTTCAGGGACAGAATCACCCACCCACTGAGCCCGAGTCGTCCCCAAGAAGCAACAGATACACCAGACAAGAAAAGTTGTTGCGGGGGATGCAGATGGAGCCTGGTGAGGGAGCCACCTCCCCATGTGCCCAGGGCAGCGCACACATTGATTTGCTCCTCGCACGAGGTACCATGGGCCCTATCTGAGGTGGGAGAGAGGACAGTGGCCAAGGTCGCCGTGCTGGAAAGCGTCATGGCCAGGGTTTGAGCCCTGGTCCCTCTGATTGCAAAGTCCTCCGTGCCTAGCTCTGGGCCTGGCGTCCAGCACTGTCCAGAGCGCCCCGTCCTTGATGTCCGCACGGCACTTGTCATTGAGACGTGCTTGATACCTCGTTAACCTCCCTCTTTGTCCTAGTTCTGCCAGGGTGTGACCTTGGCCATGTCATTCTCGGTTTCCAGGCCTCAGTTTCCCTATCTGCACATGGAGGGGGCTGCCCTGGGGGTGTCAGCTTCCCATGCAGCTGAGTCATCCTAGACTTCCACTGTGGAAGCCAGGAAGAGCTGGTGGGGTCCCCCGGGGCTGGGGCAAATTTGGGGACCCGCGCTCATGTCTGGGGTGACGGAGGAGAGCTCCACAGACGGCCCCCAGCACCCCCTATCCAGCAGCCTTGGCCAAGCCTGGCTCCCCACCCACATCCCTCTGCCCCTTAGATCCCCCGTCAACCAGACTTGGGACCCTAACCCCAGAATCCCGCTGTCACCCTTGCCTCTGGCTGCGGCAGCCCCCGACCCGGGCTGGTGCCCAAAGCGCCTTGAAAAACCTCTCTGTGGCGTTCCTTCCCCAACACACAGCCCCAGCTCGCTGCGAGGTGAGCGGAGAGCGAGGGCGAGAGCAGGAGGGAACAGAGCGAGCAGGCAGGCGGGAGAGGGGGAGAAATGCAAATGTTTTTCATCCTCCTTTCTTTTAAATGCCGAAAGCAGCCTTGACAGCCTCTGAAAATAAATGGCACCGACTCGCTGGGATTTCAAATTCCGTGATTAAGGGCTGGAGCAAATACTTTTTCCCTCCCCCCTCCCCGGCCCTCCCTCCGTGGGCTGATAGAGCGTGCGGGCCGGGGACAGCTTTTTGCGAGCCTGCCAGGAGCTCTGATACGCAGCCTCCCGCCGCCGGCAGCTTCTGCTCCGGGCTCCCGGGCTGTTTATCAGGAGTGCTCACGCCGGCAGCCGCGAAAGCAGCTTTAAATCCCCTGCCGAGCCTCACCACCCCCTCCGCGCCTGCACGCCGCATGCATGGGCACACACACACATGCACATGTGCACATACACACGCACGTGTGCACACATACAATACACACGTACATGCGTGTGCACAAATGCACACAAAACACAGCACGATACACACATGCACACACACATGCACATGAGCACAAAGGCACATGCACGTGTGCACAGGCACAATACACACATGCAGGCCTGTGCACAAAGTCACACAAAACACACAGCACAATAAACACATGCACACACATGCACGCACGCACACACCTGGCCAGGGTGGGTCTCTGCCTGTTCTCCAACCAAAGCTGAGGAAGGCTGCGCAGGTTGGGAGATGAGAGGAAGAGGGGAAAGAAGGAGGGGATGCAGAGGGGAGGTGGGAGGGGGCCAGAAGGAGAGGGGCCTGCTCTGGGCTCGCAGCTTGCTGGGGCTGCCTTCCTACTGCCTAGAGGGGGGCCTGCTTCGATGGAGCCACAAGCCGTCTCCCTTCTCCTTAACTGTTAACTGCTCCCGCCCAGTGGCTCTGAGCTTCATCCTGCTGCCAGACCCGCCCCCCCACCCCTACCCCCGCACCCTGAGGTCCTGCACCTGCCCCTGAAGCAGACAGCCCTCCTGCTGAGGGGCCAGGCCAGCTCTGGGTTGCACCTTCTCGGGATTTGGACTCCCTGGCTGGAAAATGAGGGGCTTGCACAAGACAGGGCCTCGTGGTGGCCCCAGGGCTGCGCATTCACAGGGCGCCGGGCACGGTGGCCCCACCAATGCCTCAGACCTCCTCTATGAGGCTGCTAACTCTCCGCCTGGCAGGTCTGAAAGCTGAGGCTCAGCCAGGAGTCACAGAGCTGGAAAGGGGGGCAGTCACGGCTCACTGTGGGCGTGGGGTAGGACAGAGAACCCTCCTCTGATTCTGGAGGGCCACCTCTGCTCAGAGACAACACCCCGAGTGTGGTCATCAAGAGGAGCTGACAGCTGGTGTGAGGTGTGGAAGCCAGGCCTGCTTGAGGTGCCGGTCGGCCGCATTGTGCAAGCTTCCAGCAAAAGGTACAGGCTCCCCGGGCACCTCTGGGGCACCGATGCGGACCTCCGGCCCTGCAGCTCGACCCGAGGTGATGCAGGGGCAGCAGAAGGAGAGGAGCCGCGGAGCATGTGGCTGGTCTCCAGGCCGGCTCTGCAGAGGTGGAGCACCCCTCCGTCCCTGCCCTCCCCTCAACATACACCCTGAAGCCAGTGCCTCCCAGGAGGAGCTGCCACCTGGAACAGAGTGGTAGGGACACAGAGACACCGCTGCAGCTTGCCGAGCTCAGTTCTGTCCTCCGCACACGCCCCGGGGAATCCTCACTAGGAACATACCCATTGTACAGATGAGTACAAGCTGAGGCTCAGAGAGGGCAAGTGACTGGCCCGTGGTCTCTCAGCTGGGAAGAGACAGACTCAGGATTCAAACCCACTTTTGCCCCATTCTACCCCTCAAGGCAGAGACGTCTCAGAATCCCCATTTGTTCTTTATGTGCAAAATTCTTAGGCTGATCAGCATGAAGGTGCCGACGTTCAGCCACTTTGACCTGCAGAAACCTCAATTTCGGGCAGCTCAACTCAAGAGCAGCTCTCGCTGGGCGGCTGCTCTCTCCTGGTCGACACAGCTGCGAGGCGACGCTGGGGACAAATGGGGCTGCGCTGTCCCTCCTTCGTTGTAGAAGCTGCCCCACGAGGCTCTGGCCCCGCCAGGGGTGCGACTCAGGCAGGGGCGACCTCCAGCCAGAGACGGGGTTTCCGGCACCCAGAGAGTGGAGGCCACAGGGCAGGGGGGGGGACGCCAGATTCAACAAGTAAAAACACAGGACGCTCAGTTAAATTTGTATTTCGATGAAACAAGGAATAACATTTTAGTTTATGCATTTAGTTTCTGTCCCATGCAAATATTTAGAGTAAAAAATTGTTCATTATTTCCTGAACTTCATGTCTACCTAGATGTCCTGCTCTTTCCCGGGCAGCTCTGTCTGGACCACTTCCTCTGAAAACAGGCTTTGAAATCGGGAACTCTTTGATCCAGAGCCCCCACTACAGGCGGGAACAGCACCGGGATCCCCAGAATCGGGACGAGCCTGGGTGGATGAAGGAGCCTGGGGTTTGGGGCTGAACTGGGCTTTCCCAGCTGCTGCTTAGGGAACTGGGCGCTGGATCAGTCAGTCGTGACAGGCCGCGTTCCACACAGACCCGAGCGGGGGGTGACATGGAATGAAAGCTGAGACGTCCCAGAAAACTATCTGTGCGATCTCCCAAACACCCACTCCAACTCCGTTCCCTCGGGCCTTCCTCTATCACAGAGTCCAGAAAACTAAAATAAGCCATTTCTCAGCTTCCTTTGCAGGTAAGAGTGGGCATGTGACCCAGTTCTGACCAACGAGATGAAAGCAGAGGATCCTGGGGAAGGTTTCCCCTGTTGAGTTAAAAGGCAAAGATTTCAAGGAAAATATGCGTTATCCTGCTCAGAATGTGGACTTGATGGCAGGAGGTGGAGCAGCCATCTTGTGACCACAAGGTGTTCCTGAGTGCCCCATTAGGGACCAGTGCCCGATGCTCGGCTGAGGCAAACCTTCCCCGGGTCTTACAGCACAAGAAACAGTGTGAAGTCTCCAAATGCTGTTTTCTGGGGAGAGGATGTTCCTTCATTCTAAGATTATGTCCTTCGTAGCTTTTTGGTTTAAAAATGTAATTTATTTCATAAAATGAAGTGATAGTTGATGATGGGATTTTGAACGTGTGTTTTGTCTTCTTCTCTTTAACCTCCTTCTCTAGCAAAATTAAAAATTGGCATCCCCACATTAGTCCGCAAACTTCCTTTGGAAATTATATTGGTCTCTGAAACCCCAAAGCTTTGGGAATGTGCCCAAGCATCCCCTGACTCCCTCGCAGACCCCGGCCCAGCTGGGAGGACAAACACAGAGAGGAAGGGCCGTCCCCACCAGGGGCCAGCAGCAGGCGGGGGTGGGGGGTTGGGGGTGGGCCCAGGGGCCTCCATTCCAGGTGCCTGCCCTTTGAGCCCCAGGGCCTGGCACTGAGAGGATGGACGTTCCCAGCCTGCTCTGTGCCTCCTGCTGCCCCCTCCCCACCCCGAGTGGATGTCCCCAGAGGAGCAGGAACAGCTTGTTACAGCCCCCCAGGAAGGTGCGGCCCCCAGCACGCTGTGTCCCAGGCTCTGGCCACTGGACCGTGTATGCACACCTGTCCCAAGGCCCCTGGGCTTGGCAGGTTCTGGCCAGGGACGGCCACACTCAGCCCAGAAAACCCCGAGGTGACCAGAGACACCAGGAAGTCATGGAAGAGGCCAGGCCTCCCAGGGAGACCCCTCTGCCCCACCCATCGGGAGCAAGGACCCTGGAGAGAGCGAGGGCGGGAGCAGCAGGCTGGGAAACTGCTCCACCCCAGAGAAGCAAGAGAACACGGCGCTACCCGCCCCCCAGCACTTCAAACCCTGCAGCTCCCACAGCTCGGCCCCAAGAGAAGCAGGGAGAACCGCGACAGGCGGGCAGGCTCGGGAGGGGCCGGGAGGGGCCTGGAGGGCAGGGCAGAGGGCTGAGCCGGGTCTCCGTGCCCTGCCACCCTGGGGCCCATCCTGCCCCACACAGACCCCGGAGAGCGTCCCGTCCCCCAGCTGCAGAGAGCAGCCAGATTCCCATGCGTTCGGGCGCTCTCTGATGGGGCAGGCTGGCGGGCACACGTGGGTTAGACCACACGGGTGACGCGCAGGTACACTTGTGGGTCGTGACCACTGCACCACGTGTCACGCCACAAAGGTGCTGCGCTGTTACAGCAAGACCCGGCACCCTCTGTCCCAACACACAGCTGGGGAACAGCAGATGGGCGCTCGGTCCTCTTCTCAGGGCTGGCTTTGTCAGCTGCAAGGACTTCCAGGGCCGGACGCCAAAGCCACCTCATTACACGTGTCTGCTCCTTCCAGCCTCATCCTTCCCCCAGCCCTTGCCCCAGGCCCAGCCTGCTTTTAACAAGTGTCAGTTGAAGGTCTGGCTGGAGTCAGACAGGGCTGAGTTCATATTCCGGCTGAGCTGAAAGTGGCCTGGCTGAGTGATCTAGAGCCAGTAGCTTGCCCTCTCTGAGCCTCAGTTTCCTGTCTGAAGGCTGGAGAAGATGAGGCCCACCTCCAATGACTGCTAAGAGAGTTCATGTCAGTGCCGAGAAAAGGCTTTGGGCTGCTGGTGAGAGAAATGGCTTGATTCCTTTCAGAAGTTTCCAACGTTTCTGAGCTGATGGGGCTCCTGGGAGACGCCTCCAGATCTCTCACTGTTCAGAGAAGCATGGGCTCCACTTGCATTAGGGAGGGTTTATCTTATTTTTGAAGAAGTTGAGGCCACTTCGCAATCAGATTCCTCGTGGCTGGAGCAGAGAGGATGCCAGCAAGGGCGTTAATCAAGGCTCCTTGAGGACATGCAAATCGGGAGAAAGCTCAAGTGATTAGGGCGTGAGGGGGCCTGGGGTCCAGATTTATCCCTGTCTGAGAAGAGAGAACCAGAGGCTCGGCTGGGGGCCGTGGCCAAGGGGCCTCCGTGGGGGCTGGGGACAGTGGCCTGTGGGCGAGTGGAGGCAGAAGGAGAGGGCACAGGAGAGAGCCACGCAAAGGTGGCTGAAGGCCCTTGATGGCAGGATGACGTGGTACCCCGCTGGCTTCCTGCTTCCCCTGCAGCTGCAGAGCCTGGGGGCTGCTCTGGCAGGACCCTCTGCCCGGCCGGCATGGGCCCCTCTTCCTAATGGTCAGAGACTGGCACTTCAGCAGAGATGGCAGGGAGCCTGGCAGTGCCTACGACGTGGTGGGTGCACCCACCCCGTGTGGACCTAGGGCCTCCACTTCTATGGGCTTGTGTGCACAATGATGCCGTCCTGGGGACGTGTACATTAATGAAAAGCTGGAACCAGACAGTGTCCCCCAAGGGGGCTGTTTGAGCTGGTCACGGGATGTGTTTACCATGGACTTCCTCGTCCCCCTGAAAAACGACGACTTAGACGTGGGAAGACAGTCACAACATATTGTTAAGTGACAGAGAAAAAAATGCAGGTTGCAAAACACTGGGTAATGAAGCCCATCTTTGGGAAAGAAAAGATATATCTAGAAAAACCTGGAAGGAAGGGCAGTCACAGAAATGTCAACAGTGGTTACTGTGGAGGGGGTAGATTTCAGGTGATTGTTACTTTCTTCTTTTGTATTAATTTTTTATGATGATGGGTATATATTACATTTATAATCAATAAAGCTATTTTCTCTTCTCTCTCTCTCTCTTTTTTTGTTTTTTTGGTGGGGAAGATTTGCCCTGAGCTATCATGTGTGCCAGTCCTCCTCTCTTCTATATGTGGGTCACCTCCACAGCATGGCTGATGAGTGGTGTCAGTCTACACCCGGGATCTGAACCTGCAAACCCAGGCTGCCAATGCGGAATGCATGAACTTCACCACCACGCCACGGGCCCAGCTCCTTCTCTTCTCTTTTTAAGAAAACTGCTCTATTGCTTGGCCTCACATGTCCCCTAGTCCCTTTACTGTGAAATAAATCTCCTGGTGGACCATGAGTGACACGCCCGCAGCCCCCGTGGGGGTTGAATCAGCAAGCCCCCTTTCTTTGCAGAGAGCAGCTGTCCACCACCCAGGGAGCAGGCAGGTCAGGGCCTGGGGTCACTGTGAGACCCTCATGCAGCCCCACACCGTCTCTGGATGATGCAGAAGAAAATGGAGCACATGGCGATCGTCCCGTCCAGGGTGTAGATATGCGTCCTGTGTGAGCCCAGCCTCCTCCTCTAAAGCCCCGGGCCAGAGGCAGTGGGGGACTCAGAGCTGTTCCTTCCAGAAGAACGATGTGGCGCACACAGCGAAGATTAGGGAGCACCCCAGCAGGGCCTGGGCAGCCCCCACAACCAAACACATGAATATCTCTGCAAAGAAATGCACAAATATTCATATCAAGGGGAATAAATAAAACTATAAAGAGCTTCCCGTCAGTTGAGGTCAGGTTTTGCCTCCAAATGAATTTGCCACCATCTTCCCAAAGAACTTGGGTTTTCAGAACTTTTATCCATTTCAGAATTCCAGTTAAGGGGCAGGGGTCCGATCGGGATCGGGGCTCGGCGGCTTGGCTGTCTTCCCGCACGGGCCCCCAGCAGCGGGGCTGGCTTCACGAGCGAGCAGCCTGCGAGGTCTCTCAGGGCCCCAGATGGTTGAACGCTCTGCTGTTGCCATCTTGAAATTCTTAATACACTTTGGACAAGGGGGGCCTGTTTTCCTCTCGTGTAGACCCTGAAAATCACACGGTTGGTCCTGCCAGCGTCCAGGGAGAGGCCTGGCACAGGGCGGTTGCTCAGTAAGTGCTCATTGAATGAATGAATGAAATGTCATCCCCATTTCACCCTGCTTTGCCCTCCCCCCAAGTTCTCCATCAGTGTGGAGAGCCAGGGTCCCGAGTGGCCCATCTCTGGGGAGCCTGACATCCATGCAGATTCTTGGGGCTCCCAGACCCTCATTCAGAATCTCAGGAGGAGGCATTTGAGTTTCTCACTTGTCCCCAAGTGATTTGTCCCCTGTGACTTTGAGGACCAACCGTGTGGTTGTTTTGAGGGCAACCTTGCTCTCTCTCCCTCCTTTTCTAGCTGTGTGATCTTAGGTAGGTTGCCAAACCTCTCTGAACTTCCTATAATGGCAAGGGGTTCACTCTTAAGCCCTCCCAGGCCAACTGTCTGGGAAGAAGCCCTTCCTGCCAGCTATCAGGGAGCTCCTGGGGGGAGGCAGTCTGGTCTGCCGAGTCTGGCTGGTCCCCTGAGCATCCCCAGCTTCCAGCCTGGGGGGGCATGTGGAGGGCCCAGGGGACACTTCCTGTGTGTGTGGATGGGAAAGGAGGATGATTCCCCAACCTCGTGGGGCTGTGTGGGGAGGAGTGAGGGCAGGCAGAGGGCTTCGTCAGCACAGGCTGGGCACACAGTCGGTGCCACATAAATGGAGCTGTCATTACTGGTCTCCCCACCTCCTCCTGGGGCTGTGGCAGCAGGTGAGCCCCACCAGAGGCTGGAGGCAGCGGCAGGAGAGGAGGAAGGCGGGGGCCGGAGGATGGAGTCCAGGCACGTCCTGATACCAATTAAGGCAGCTCGGGAGCAGGGGGGCCGCGGTCGGCATTTATCAGCCAGTCGGGGAGGGGCTGGCAAGCTGTCCTCTGGCTGACGGATTAGACAGCGGACAACTAGGTTTCAGGCGGGCGCGCGCACTCTCCCTCACACACACACATCCCTTTCTCCATCAGTCTGCAAGGCCCATCGACAGAGCCCAGCTGGGTCCCTGCCCAGCCCCCAGTGGCAGGGACAAAACAGACACAGAGCCCTCACCCGGAGGAGGCAAGGAATGCCCCTCAAGGAGAATAGCCAGGGACGCCCCCCCCAACCCTACACCCACGTGGACCATGGCTGAAGACCCCACAGTTTCTCCCGCAAGCATTGCTTCCGGCTGGATGAGGAGTGGGGGAATTCTCGAGAACACAACACGTAGGAGGCGACAGCAGTGATGGTGCTTGCTCAAGCTGAGCGGGGGGCCAACCTGAGCCGCCCAGGGACCCCCTGCCTCCCCAAGAAATGGTCCCCCCTCCCCTAATTGGAGCCTTTGATCCATGGGTCCCAGGGGAAAAGAATGTGTGAGCGAGGATGCGGACTTGGAAGGACTGGGCAAACCCGAAGGAGAAGTCTTCAGGATTCTGGAATGTTCTATACTGCAGATGCCCTGGGATGAATGAGGAACACGAGAAGGGAAGGATGATCCAAACCCTTCTTCGAGAACGGCAGAATCGGGCGGGACCCTGGGCAGCTCTGGCCCACAGCTGCAGGCCAGTCTCTGTCCTGGTCAAATGGGTCCCCAACCTCTCCCCTGGACCTTGGACACCGTGGCTGCTGGCGGCAGGACCTTCCTGCTAAGATCATGTTGGGCGCCTGACCCTCTAAGCTGAGCTCGTCCATGCCCCCGGGCTCTCCACGCTGGCAAATGGCATCGTTGTCACCCCAAGGCCTGGTCCAGAAATCTGGGTTCGGCCTTGCCTCCCCACCGCCCTCCCCCACAGCTGTAAGCACCAGTCTCTTTGCCTCCTGAAAGGCTCTCAGACGCACCGCTTCTGTCTGTCCCCTGGCCACACCCTGACCCCGGCCGCCACCCCTTGCCTGGAGACTCCACCGGCCCAGGTCCTTGGTCTTCCCTCCCACTCTGTTCTGCCCCAGCCACAGAGGGGTCACTCCAATCGCCCTCCAGTTGCGCTGCCCTGCTTCAAGAGCCACACCCCCAGCAGCCTAGGAGGAAGGGCCCGGCTCTGGCCGCGACCATAGGCTGCCTCCTTCCTCCCTGGTCCCCTGGTTATTCACGCCGCGCCCTTGGCCGTGATCCTGGGGACGTGTGCGGTCACCTGGCTGATGTTTGCCCCTCCGTCTCCCCCTGGAATGTAAGGAGGGCAGAGGCCCGCTCTCCTTTGTTCACCCCGTCGGCACCTGTCACCTGGCAGGGACTCTCGGCATCTGTGGAGTAAGGCCCGAGGCCCGCCCTGTCTGGCCTCCGCCCGCCCACGAGGGCCACACCCAGTACCGGCTGTTTCCTGAAGACCACGCTTGTCCCACTCTCCGGCCCCCTGCCTGGAACGCCCGGCTTACCCCAGCGCCCTCGGCCACCAGCTCCCGCTTCTGGCCTCAGCTCGGCTGTCAATTCTTCCTGAAGCTTCTGCCTCTGCAGCTAGACCAGTCTCCCACTCTGGGCGATGGCCGCCCACACGGCTGCTGAGTCAAGGCGGCTGGGCCACTCGTCGGCCTCTCCAGCCGGTGGGGGCTCCCTGGGGGCGGTCGCGTTCACAGAGCCCGGCACACAGCAGGTGCTCAATAAGCGTCTCACAAATGGACGAGCCCAGAACGCCTGCTCTCTCCCCAGCAGAGCCCCCGCCTTCGTCTGGCCACGTCTGCCCGCTGCCTGGGGCTCTGAGGGGCCAGGGCCCAGAGTGGACACGACCAGGCACCAGGCTGATGACACAGACAGAAGTGCTCTGGGAATGCCTGTCACTGGGGACTCTGCCCACAAAGGGGGCAAAGGATTCTGGGATGACCAGCTTTGAGGGGCAGAGGACAGGTTGGGGAGAAAAGGGACAGAATATTACCTTTATTAGTGAAAGACGGCCTGTGGGACCTTGGCGCAGCACTGTCTCGGGCTCTCTTGTGTCCTCCTTGTTACAACCTTGAGAATAAACGGCTTTGCCCTTGTTCTTCAGATGAAGAGCAGCCGGAGGGACCCGAAGCCGCTTGTCCAGGATGCCACAGCCATACGTGGCGAATCCAAATTCAAACTCAGTTATGGCTGGTTCCGGGGGCTGTGTCCTCACTCCATCCATGTACCAGGGCCTCCTCACTGCCACCCACTGTGCCACCGCCCTGTGCCAGCGTCTCAGGAGAGGCACCCGTGTGACAAAGGCAGTGGGGCCGCATGAGCCCGGTGAGCAGGAGGTGGGAACACCTGAGGAGGCTGTGAGAGCCAAGGCCCCAGCTAGCAGTCAGGGGTGAAAGCCCAGGAAAAAGCAGACCAGTCACGGACCTCTCTGTGCCTCAGTTTCCCTGTCTGTAAAATGAGGACATATTGGCACTGACTTCATACTAAGGATAAATATCTGTCAAGTGCCCAGAACAGTGCCTGGCGCAGAGAAAGCATGTGTGATGGTCTTAAATAAACAAACGGGGAACATGGTGGGTCCACGTCCAGGGGGACGGCAGGGGAGTCCCCGGGACATCTCTGCACTGGGAGGCTCACGGCACGGGCCAGGAGGAGGCGCGGGGACGATGTGCTGGGGGTGGAGGGGTGGGGTCACGGCTTCACTTTCCCAGCCAGTGGCTGGAGCAGGCCCCTGGAGAGCCTGGGGTGGCTCGGTGAGGCCACCACCGAGGCAGGCAGCCACCCTCCACTGGTCCTTGGAGGCCAAGCTGAGGGAGGCCGCCGGGATAGCATCCTTCTCCCCTTCACCCAGTGGGTGTGCACACAGGCTCCCAGGTCAGACCCCAGGGAAATGAGGGGGGCAGGACAGCGGCCCGAGGATGAGTTAGATGGTGGGTGAGGGGGCGACTCCCCCATCAGCATCCACTCCAGTTAAGGTATAAAATGGTGAAGACACCCCGAGGCAGAGGGGTGATAATAATTCTTGACTAGGCGTCACAAGGCTGGTTGTCTTTCCATTCTGACTCCATCACTCACTCATTCATTCATTCAACAAACGTACAACAGGCACTTATCAGGTGCCAGACCTGCCCTGGCTCTGGGGCAGAAAGCTGAGCACACAGACACGGTACCCGCCCTCAGGGGACTTACAGGCCAGGAGACACACTGAGCAGGCTCTTTATCATTGCCAAGAGGACACAGGAGGAGAAGCGCAGGGTACCGCAGAGAGGGACTTGCCCGGGTGGCAGGGCGGCCTTCCGGGCGCGGCCAGCCCTGAAGGACGAGCAGGGCTATCTGCGAGGCCTGGGCTGAACATGGCCGCTGTCTGCGCCTCCGTTTCCACGTTTGTAAAATGGGATAACTCATCATGGTTGGTGCCCCACACATGCTTGAGGACCCGCCTCGATTCCACCAGCAAGAAAAGGAGCGTGGCCCTTTAAGAAATTCCCCAAATGGGAATTTTAAAATGTGGACAAAGAGAACAGATTAGTGGCTACCAGGGGAAAGGTGGGGTGGGGGGAGGGCACAAAGGATGAAATGGTGCACCTACAACACGAATGACAAACATTAATGTACAACTGAAATCACACAAGATTGTAACCTATCATTAACTCAATAAAAAAAAAAATTCCCCAAATGGGACAGGGGTGTCCTTAAGGCCAGGAGGCAGAATCCTAGCCTGGGGATCCGTGATCTATACCCAGGACCCCAGTAGACCAAGGTCAAAGGCAGAATTCAAGCCTGTCGGACCCGAGAGGCCTGTGGCAGAGCCACCTGGCCCTCTGTGGGTCCCCCAGCCCAGAGCCCCCTCCTCCTGCTGCTCCTGACTTTGCGTCAGGTGCGCAGGCCCCCACCCCTGTCCACCTCGCCTCGGGGGCCCTCACCACAGGCCCTCTCACTCCCTGAAGGGAGCACTCGCAGCCAGGAAGGCCAGAGTTCTGTGCACCCAAAGGCTCCTCGTGGACTGTGGGTGTCGTTCTTGCTTGATCGCCACCCCCCGACACACACACCACCAACCCCAACTATGGAGCCTCATGCAGCCCCTTATTAAGAAATTGGTCAATTTCCTGCTAATTAAAATAAATACTATGCCACATTAAAGGCCAATTAATTTTCAGAGCTGCCAGGAAAACATGCGCCTGGAAAACGCACCCCCACCCCCTCGGAAGAGACAGCCATGCAGCAGCAGCCGCGAGGAGTCCGACACACGCGCAGCCTCCAGCAGGGGCGCGGAGGGAGGGAGGACCCGAGGGGGACTGGCTGGACGAGGGGCTACCTGCCCAGCAGGGCTTCTTGCTCCCAGAGGGGCCGTGCTCGCTCAGCCCAGGAGTCTGGGACCCCACCCCTCTCCAGGACACACAGGTCCCCAGACCAGGTCTTGCAAGCCAATCCCACACCCAGGGCAAGCTCCTTCTCCATAACGTCTGTGAGAAAGACGGGGTTCTGGAAGGCTGGTGACCCCCAGGCCCTGTGCCCCTAAGTTATCTTACTGAGCCCCACAGCAGCCCTCCGAGGGAGGTGCCACCCTCTCCATCTGCAGATGGACAAGCTGAGGCTGGGAGCCACCAAGCCCCTCTCCTGAGGTCACAGCCTCTAGGGCAGAGCAGGAGGCACGCCTGGTGCCCCCTGACTATACCCCGATAAACCTGTAGCGGTTCCTGTTACAACCCTGAGCATTTTTCCATAATATGAAAAAGGGCAGGGGAATTGCCATGTCTGCATAAAAACAAATTTCGTCGGCTGGGTTTGTTCAAGGTGAGGCTTACCTGCTCCCTAATCGTAAGAAAGCTGTCTACAGAGAGGTTGGGACGTGCCAGGAGGCATGCTGGTCCCTGTGCAGTTGTCATCTCACTGAATCCTCACTAGCGCTTGAGGCCCAGAGAGGTTAGGTAACATGCCCATGGTCATACAGCCTGCCCATGTCTTAGCCATGGCAATCTCCTATCTTTAAGGTTCACGTTTTTCCATTTCTTCAAGGTCAAAACCAAGGTGTGTGGGTGTTCTCCTCTCCAGGCAGGACAGAAAAGAACACTGGGTTCACTGTGTGACCTTGGACAGGCCCCTTTCCCTCCCTGGGCCTCATCTTGCTCATCTGCCAAATGGGAGGGCTCCCCTGGACTCCATTCAACCTGAGCATCCTGCAGGGGCCCTCCGTCTGGAGCAGGTGGCTCGGGGCAGAGGATCCAGCCAGATGGTAGTAACAGCTGTCCCTCTGCCAGGACAGGGAGACCTGGCTGCCTCGCAGGGAGCAGCGGGAAGTGGCCCGGGGGCCAGACAGGAACACAGTGGGGACGAGGGCCCAGCCAGGGCTGGCCACAGAGTGCCCCATGGGCTGCTCCCACACGGTGGGTGTCTGCCCGGCCCCTGCTCTCCACTCCCCATGCAATCCAGGCATCAGCGGCTCAGCCCACACCAGGAGCAGAAGGCATGGAGGTGCGCAGGGGAGGGGCTGGGGGAGCGACAGGCGGAAGCGGGGGGCCTGGCCCTCTGTGGGCCCCATGCCTCCCCTCTTGCTGAGCTCTAACCGGGAGCCCCGGCATTTCACAGAAGCCTCTCCCGGAGGAGTGAGCGCCGAGGCGCCTGCCCTTCCTCAGTGAGGAAGCAGAAGGAGCAGCGGGGCTGGGCGGCTCACTGCTCGGGGCGGACCACCACGCCACCCCCTCAACCCCTCTAAGGAGCGCCTACCGTGTGACAGGCGCGACGCTGGGACCGAGGACCAGAACACACATTGGCTGTGGCCCTCGTGCCTGAGAAGTCACACTGAAGGGGGGGAATCAGATGGGAGGTAAATGTGGGTGCCGCTCCGGACAACTGCCACTCGGCCACAAGTGTGCACAGAATGCTGGATGCACAGAGAATGCTGAGCAACTCGCCAGGGGGGTGGTTCCTAGGGCGGCGGACACCTGACTGGGATCTGCCCGCAGCCCAGAGAGGGAAGGACCCTCCTGGCAGAGGCCACAGCATGAGCAAAGGCCCAGCGGCATGAAGGGACCCGCTGTGCGGGAACAGAGCAGCACAGCGTAGTAAGAGTGGACTCAGATGAGGGGCAGACTGGGGTTCCAGCAGTCAGGGCCTTCTGAATCATGGTCTGCCAAGTCTTAGAATCAATAATAGTAATGACAACAATAGCCACCCTGTTACTGAACAGTTATAACGTGTCCAGCTCCCTGCTAAGCCCATCTCAGGGACCAAGGCTCACCGAATCATCCAACAATCCCCCTTAGTGGAGTACTGGTAGCATCCCCATTGACAGATGAGGACACTGAGACCCAGAGAGGCTAGGTGAGTTGCCAGTGGTCACACAGCTCGTAGAGACCGGGCTGGGATTGGCCTCCGGCTTCTACCTCTCACCCAGCAGCATGTGCTGTCTCTAAGGAGTTTGGACGTCACCTTGAGGGCAACTGGGAGCCATGAGGGATTTTGGGGCGGGGAGAGCAGAGTTTCAGTGCCCCAAAGCCCGGAGTCAGGCTCGTGGAGACTTGGCAGGTCTGCTCCAGGGTCCATGGGTCGCTCCAGGCCTTGTCTTCCTTTGGCTCTCTGCTGTACAGTGGGGTTTGGCCTGAGTCTTCGGCCCTGGCCCACTGTCCCTGGGCTCCAGCCTGAGGGCTGGGGGCCATCACTGCCAAGGCCTGTGCAGAACCTGGACTCCTACCGGTCTGGGGTCTCAGCTGCTCTGAGCCTCCCTGGGCCCCTACATTACCCGCTCTTACCTTCCCCCTTCCTGGCTCACGGATAGCATCTTGGGGGGGGGGGTGCCTGGGAAGGGACCCCCTGTGGAGCTGAGCAAGCCCCAGAAAGAGCCCAGCAGAGGTGGCATCCCCTTGGGGTGCACCCAGAGAGCTTGGTGGGTCACAGAGCCCCCAAGAAGCTCTCTCTTCCTCTGGCATCCTGTGCATGCAGAGTTAGTTGTTTATTTGGTGTCTTTTTTAGAATGTGAGGCCCTTGGGGGAGGGAGCCTGGGCATCTAACCTAAGGTTTGGCTCAAGATGAGCATTCAAGAAACACTGGAAGAATAGATGGAAGGAAGGAAGGGAGGGAGGGAGGGAGAGAGAGAGGGAGGGAGTGGATGGATGGACGGGTGGATGGATGGATGGATGGATGGATGGATGGATGGATGGGTGGGTGGATGGATGGATGGATGGATGGATGCGTGCATGGATGGATGGGTGGATGGATGGAGCGAGTGAAGGGTGACTGTCCCCTGCACCAAGAGGCATCCAGCGACTCAGGCCAGGAGGGCGAGAGCACTGCCTCCGAGACCTGAGCTGCAGTTCACTGAGCAGCCCCTCCGCCCTCCCCAGAATTTTCATTAGGACGCATCTGCGGCCCCTGGCCCCCCTGGCCCCTGGCCCCCCTGGCCTCTGCCCCTGGAAGACGCAGACGCCTCCACTGGCTTTATTAAGGACCTATTAACCCGGTGTCTTTCAGACCTGGGCTACAGAAGCAGCTCTCGGCAGGGCTAACGATGCTGTCACCGCAGACCTTGGTAGAGAGCCCCAGAGGTCCTCCGGCGGGAGGGCCAGGAACCTGGGGTTACAGCGAGGGCATCAGAGCCGCACAGGCCCGCCAGTGCCTCTGCTAATTGGCTGTGTGGCCTTGGGCAACACACTTCCCTTCTCTGAGTTGCAGCTTCCTCACACGTAACATGGGGTAACAGTGTGCTTGTCTGAGGACTCCTGGAGCTGCTCTTACACCCCTCAGCAGGGAGTAAGCACTTGCTACAAGGAGTGACAACCCAAGGACCCTCTGGGAGCCGGCCACCTGATCCTCCCGGGACAGGCAGCTGCGGTGACCATCCCTAATTGATGGATGAGGAAACTGAGAACAACAGCGAGATGAAGGGCTGGGCAAAGGCCGCACAGCCGGGAAGTGACAGGGCCAGGATTCAAACAGAGGCAGTAGGCAGCGGAGGCCACAAACCGGGCCATTTCCTGCCTGGCCACTGAGCAGGAACAAAGCCTGGGGCGGGTGGGGAGGGGCTGGAGGGGTGCCTCTCCCACCAGCTCCTGTGCTGAGCGGAGGGGGAGCCGGGACAATAACCGAGATTTACGACGTCAGCGCCATTAACTGCACCATCTGGATGCCACGCGTCCACCTGGGTGTATTAGGGATCCCAGCCCTTCCGCAGAAATGGCAGGGAGGAACAAGGGGTGGGGGGAGGTGAGAGAACTGTCATGAGCTGCCAGGTTGACCGCAGGGACCGTGTGGGGCCCCCCCGGCTCTCAAGTTCCTGACGTACCCCAGAGGGGGTCTCCCACTGAGAGAGCTGGGGCCCCGCCAGTCTCAGAAGAGTCAAGAATGGTTGAACCCAAAAGCACAAACTCCTTGATCAAGGTCAGAGGACGAGCAGGAAGGCGGGGGGTGGGGGGGGGGGGTGACAGTAACACAAACCACGAGGTGCTGGCTCTCAGGGGTGCGTTCCATGCCACCTTCCAGGCTGCTGATTCCCAGAAGGGGAGTTCACCTCTCTGAGGCTCTGTCCGTTCGTCTGTGAAATTGGGATCGTCGTGGCCTTCACCTCTCAGGGTTGTTTTGAAGGCTAAATGAGATAAGGAAATGGACAGACCTCGGCGGACGCCGGCACGGAGTAACCCCCAATCCCGGCGGGTCGGGAGGATTACCCCATTTACCAGAGGGGAAGACCCAGGCCCCAAGGAGGCAAGCGACATGCCTTGGCTTGGCGGCAGGGCCTGTGACAGAGATGGGCCTGCCTGGGGACAGAGCCCAGGCCCAGAGCCTCAGGGCCCGAGGCAGCAGCGCTGGGTCACACCAGCGAGAGTGGCGCACTGAGCGCCTCCAGCTCCAACAACAGCCATACGTTCTGAGCTCTGTGCCAGGCGCCGCTAAGAGCTTTTCTGCCTCACTTCACGGAACCACCACAACTTGGCAGGTGGGCGCTGCGCTGTCCCTGGGATGCAGGGGCACGAGCTTCCGTGGGGCCCAGCTAGAATTCACCACCAGGACCGGCTGGTTCTAAAGCCCTGGGCCCCAGCATTCGCTCCTGCCCTCTGCACGGAGGCAGGGACTTCTCTTTATTATAACAACTGCTCCCTGTGTCTTCATTTCCTCCTAAAAGAAGGAAAGGGACAAATAGGATGCTAGCCATGGTGGACCCCCAGTCTTCTGGATATCAGACAAGCTTTCCCTTCGGTCCTGGGCACCTCTCCCACATGTTGCCAGGGGGAGGGGAAGGGAGGCAGGAACGTCACCCAAGCCCCACCCTCTCTCCTTAGCTCTTTCAGAGGCTAAGCAGCTAGAACCCCTCAGCCTGCACAAGGCCACCGTGGGGAGGAGGCTGGGAGGGGTGGCAGGGAGTGGGGAGGAGGAGGTTTGAAGCCGTGGTCCCCCTTCCTTGAACACTGGCTCCGTGCATTCCCTTCTGGTCAGCCTGGATGCTGGAAGGCTGAGGCCGCCCCATTCAAAAAGCAAAAGCCTCTCCTTTCCATTCTAGAAAACCCCAGAGACCTGGGTTGCTCTGCTCACCTTCTCTCTTGGCCAGTGTGGCCAGGGCAGGGGCCAGGGGAACAACAGCTGTCCTGCCCTGGGGAGAGAGGTCCGGGAGTCCTGGGCCTGGGCCCTCTCTGGGGCCCATACCCCGGGGAGCAGGTCGGAGAGCCTGGCGCCCACGGAGTCCCTCCCGGCTGCCGGGAGCAGTGGCAGATGGGGAGGCTCCGCTGATGGCCTCCGCCGGGCCCCCAGGCCCTGTGACCCATCCTCCAGGGAGCTCCCGGCCTGTCCATCCGAGGTGACCCTTCCCCCTTCCCCACAGAAGCCCAGACCTCTGACCCTCATTAAAAACAAACCAAACCAAATCTGGAGAGAAAAAAACCCTCCACAAACAGCCTCAGAGATGATTGTGTCCCCCGCCCTCCATGCACACACACACACACACACACACACACACACACGCACACGTGCACACCCGCCTCAGACACGCAAGGCTGCAGCCAGGCTTCCAGATAAACAAGCTGCTGGAGAGCGGCTCTGGCTTATGAAACATTTAGGTGCCCCTCGACACTTGCTTCCAGGGGGGTGGGCTGTTTCCTCGTTTTCTGGTGAACAGAGAGTGGAGAGGGAGCCTGGGGGTGGGCAGCACTTCACTTCTCCCTCTGTGCTCTCTGCTGCTTAGTTTGCGGAAGGGGATCCGGGGAGAGGGGACCAGGAGACACAGGCGGGGGACCCCTGGGCGTCACCTGGAGACGTCCCCCCCACCCCCGATGGGGAGGCCAGGCTCGGAGAGGGCTTCAGGCGGCCAAGGGCAGCAGGGCCTGGTCAGCCCGCCCCAGGCCAGGGCTCCGAGAGGCATCGCCCAGCGCCCAGCACTCAGACGACGTTGGGGACCCGGGGCGGCTGTGTCCCTGCCCCCTGGGCTGCCCGCCCCCGGCGCCTGGAAGCCAGCGAATCGGCCAGGAACAAAGGCGGGGCCGCTTTCCAAAGGCCCACAACAAACAGTGCTGCTATTTTCCCCTTTTTTCCGCCCAAGCGGGCGGCCGGGCAGATCTGGGGTCCGGGCGGCGCCCGCGCGGGGCAGGCCCGGGGCGCATGCGCAGACCGGGGCGCCGGAGGCCGCGGCCGCCCGCGCAGCCTCGCTCGGGCTGGTCGCCGTGGCAACGGGCTCGCGGGGGGAGGGGCCGGGCGGCGCGGGCCGCGGCGGCTGCTATTTCTGCCGCTTCCTGTTCCTCGCGGCCACGTCGCCATGGCAACCGTGTTACTCACCGCGGCCGCTTCCCGGCGCGGCTGGCGCGTGACCCCGGCCGCCCGCGCCCCCGTCTCTCGCTCGCCGAGCCCCCCAGCCCCCCGGCGCCCCATCCCGTCCTCCCCGCCCCGCTCAGCCGGGGCCCGCGGCCGGGAGGGAGGGAGCCGATGGATGGGGGACGCTTATTAAAAAGACATCGTAACCGTTTCCGTTTTTATTACGTTGACAAGGGAGCGTTATTTACTGTTATTGTTTGCCGAGCGGGCCGCGCCTGAGCGCGGGCGGCCCCCCGGGAGCTCACCTTTCGGGCGGGCCCGGGAAGTCGCGGGTGGGAGCGCGAGGCGGGGTCCAGGGGACGCACGCGGGGTCCCAGCCCCTTCCCCCAGCCCGCCCGGCGACCCCCTGGGCGGGGCGCGTCTGCGCGGGGAGGGACTGCAGAGGCCGGGCACTCGTGTTGAAGGAGAAAGGCAGCAAAAAATAAAAAAGGGAACAGATGACTTCATTCTCGGGAAGGCTCCGTCCTACGTGGACCAATTTCCTGGGGACTGTGGTGGAACAGCCCCGCTGCCGTTGGAAGCACTTAAAACTAAACCAGATAAAGACCAGAAAATGCTCAGCCTTGCCTGAAGCCAGCAAGGGCAGGCTGGCGGCGGGTGAGCCCCGGGAGGGCGGCGAGGAGGGTCGAATTTCTGCCCCCTCCTGGGGCTTGGCTGTCCACCAACCTCCCCACGCAGACGCTTGTACCCTAAGAGGCTGAATAACTGCCCCAAGGTCACGCAGCCAGTTTCTGTTCTGCTCAAACACCTGCAGGGACAAAACCAGCGGAGGCCGGGGCGCCAGAGCCAGGGGCTGGCGTGGGAGCCCTGGAGGGAGGGTGAGGCTCAGCTGGACGCCCAGCGAGGGGCGGTGAACGCGGCGGGTCTCAGCCCTGGCCGGCCTGGCTCCCACTCACCCCGCGGAGCCCCCAGCGGGGGGCTTGTGGGAGCAGGGTCCACGGGGATCAGATGGGCCTGGAGGACAGCCCCACCCCCATGCCCCTGCTGGGATGTTAATCTCATCCTGCTAATTAGAGTTAGCAATTCTGTCCCCGACTCGGCTCCTGACTCTGGAACGTTGTTAGCTGAAATGCAAACAATTACTGCTCCAGACGAGAAGCCGGAGGAAAAAGGCCTCTGGAGTTCACATATAAAAAGGATTTTTTAAAAAATGTTTATACGTATAAACAAGGACTCCTAATGAACAGACCAGGTTTTGGAAGCTGAACTTTCGGAGACTGCCTCAGCCTGTTTTGTGGGTTTTTTCCCCCTTCCAAGGGCACGAGGCTTGGGATTCAGTCACCACAGCCTTAGATGATCCACGAGGGTTTTTCCAGGCCCAGGATGGCCCCTCCAGACTCGCTGGAGTCCAGCGTGCTGGGCCAGTTCCCGGTTAAGGCCTGTGGGTCTGGGCGTCACAGCCAGAGAAAGTTATCTTCAACTGTGTTCCCAGCACCCACCAGCTCTCAGCTGCCGAGCCTTCCCTGAACGCACGAATCAAAAGTCTGGGCTCCACGAAAAGAGAGTACCCCCCCACCCTAGTCCTTCCAACGCTTTGCTGTGTGGCATGGGAAGGCAGAGGGAAAGGTGGAGAAACCAGCCTCGCCACACACTCCTCTGCCACTCCACTCGTTCTGTGGGCTCGCCTTCCAAGCAAAACTCATCTCTGGCAGCAGGTTTAAAGACTTTGGCTGACGTAAGAGTCGTGACCCCCGGGCAGCGTTTGATCAGGACCAAGATGACACCCAGCGTCACAGAATGTCAGGGCTGGGAGGCCTTTGGGGATTACCCAGACCAACCACTCCTGCTTCCCTATTTTACAGATGGGCAAACTGAGGCCCGGAGAGAGGAAGAGACCTGACGGAGATCTGCCACTGGTTGGTGGCACTCATTGGTCCCCTCTGATTCTCCTGTGGAATTATCCATAGGAGCAGAGACTCTGGAGCTGGGGGACAGGATAGCTGTGGTGAGGCAGGAGGCACTGAAGTCAGATTGCCTGGGTTCAGATCTTTACTTCTAAGTGAGACCTTGGGCAAGCGAATTCTTCTCCCGGAGCCTCAGTTGTCTTACGTGTTAGGTGGCCATAATAATAGTGCCTGCCCTAAGTTTGTCTTAAGGAAGGCAGGAGGTAGTGTAAGAAAAGCCTGTACGTAACCCTGGTACATACTGCTGCTTAACTAACGGTGGCAGTGATGCTACTGGCACTGGTGATGCTGGTGGGTGTAGTGGATTGAGTGGTGCTCCCCACCCCAAGGATATGTCCGTGTCTTAATCCTTGGAACGTGTGCATGTGACCTTCTTTGGAAAAAGGATCTTTGTAGTCGTAATTAAGTTAAGAATATTGACGTGAGGGCATCCTAGATTACCCAGGCGGGACCTCAGTGCCCTCACAGGTGTCCTTATAGGAGACAGAAGACAGGGCCACAAAAAGGAGAAACTGTGTGCAGACAGAGGCAGAGATGGGCGTGAGGCAGCCACAAGCCGAGGAACACCTGGAGCCACCAGAAACCGGAAGAGGCGGGAAGGCTCCTCCCAGAGTCCTGGGAGGGCACGTGCCCCTGCTGACACCTTGGTTTTGGCCTTCTGGCCTCCAGAACTCTGAGGGAATAATCTGTTTTAAGGGCCGGGTTTGTGGTGATTTGTTACACAGCCACAGGAGGCTAATACGGTGGTGCCTCTGGGGTGATAGTGACGATGGTGGTGATAGCCGCTGTATTCATTTCCTGGGGCTGCCTTGCCTAACCAAGTACCACAAACCGGGTGACTTAAGACGACAGACACATATTGTCCAATGGTCCTGGAGGCCAAAAATCCCAAATGAGGCATCCATCAGCAGAGCCGTGCTCCCTCTGAAGGTGCTCGCGAGGAAGCATCCCAGGCCTCTCTCCGGGTTTCTGGTGGCTCAGGCGTCCCTTGGCTTGCGCATGCGTCACTCAGATCCTGCGGTGCTCTGCCTTCACGTGGCCTGCTCCCTGTGCGTCTTCCCGTCGCCTTCGCTCTGTGTGTGTCTGTATTTCCCCTTTTGATAAGGACACCGGTCATAGTGGAGTAGGGCCCACCCTAATGACCTCATCTTGACTTGATTACCTCTTTAAAGACCCTATTTCCAATAAGGTCACGTTCTCAGGTACTGGGGGTTAGGACCTCAACATATCTTTTGGGGGGGGACACAATTCACCCCGCAACAGTGGTGATGATGGAGATGGCGATGGGCAGAGATGAGAGAGTGATGGTGATGGTAAGAGGCCTCAGCCTCAGACTCCCACACTCTGCGGGAACCATTTAGAGAGCATCGGCCAGCTCACAGGGCTTCCTGGGGCCCAGGAATCTGTTCTCTGCAGTGAGGAGCTGGGTTGGAGTAACCAGCTGGAGGAGCAGAGAAATGAGGAAGATGATCCCAGGATGTAACTGCCAAGTTAGTGCCATGGGAGGAGCCAGACCCCCTTCTGGAAGCTCTGCCATTTACCAGCTGTGAGGCCTCCAGCAAACCCTTTAACCTCTTGGCCGCGGGTTGGACCCGATGCTGTGGAAGAGCCTGCTCAGCTCCGCGGTGCTGGGAGTTTGGGGTTCCACATGCTTGCCTCAGCAGGAGCCCGCCCTCCCCAGGACAGGGGAGAGGGCGTCAGGGCCAGCGGGTGAACAACGGGCAGCGAGGAGGGAGGGGACAGCGTGCCTGTGAGCGCTCCTGTGGCTCCCTGGCTCCTGGGCGCCTGCCTCCTCCCTCTGAAATGCAAGCACTTGCTATTTTTATCCACAGCTAAGCCAGTGCTTGTCTCCGGCTGCCAGAAGCCTCCCTGAGGGCAGGGACCAGGGTTTGCTCTCTCTGAGTCTTTTGAGCCTCTCAGAGCCTGGCCTGGTCCTCCACACTTGCATGCACGTGGATGGAGCCTGGAATGTTTTAAAGAACAGCGAGTCCCTCCCTTCTCTTTCCATCTGGGCACAATGGAGACAAGACAAGGTGGGGCTGGCCACCTGTTTTCGAATGTGATCTTTCTCCACCAGACCCTGGGCCGCACAAGGAAGAGGGGCGACCAGTTGGGTGGGAAAGCAGAGTGAGCCTGGCTCGCCTTTCTTTGGGAGCCCGCAGTGCAGGCAGACCGAACCCCGACCCCAGAAAGCCCACTGGTCTCTGGCAGAAGTCAGGCGGGGTTGGGCCACTGGCTTTTCTCTTGGTAGACACAATTCCATTAACTCCCTCCTCAACCCGTCTCTCTCCAGCTTAATTATCAGCACTGGTTCATTCATTTGTCCCATCGCGGCAATCAGGAAGCAGCCACTCCGGCCGGGCACTGTCCTGTGCACCCGGAGACAATGGCCAGCGTGTGTGCAGCTCACATTCTCAGGAAGAGAGAGACAGAGAACAAAGAAGCAGGCTGATGCCAGCAGCCAGGGAGCAGGACAAGTTGGAGAGGAAAGGAAATCGGGGTGAGGGGCTCGGCTGGAGAACAAAAGGGCTGGAGTTTGGAAAGGAGGTGAGGGTGGTGAGGAGGTGACAATGGCCGAGACCTGGGTGAAGGGAGGAGGGAGCCCTGTGGAGGGCTGCAGGAGTAGGGACGTGCAAAGGCCTGAGGCAGCGCATCCTGGTGCCCCAAGGGGAGTGGGCAGCACAGGCGGATCTTGTCCAGTCTCAGAGTTTTTCTAGGTGCACCTGAAGCCAACGGAGGCCGGAGGCAAGAGTGAGCCAAGGGCCCACTGGTGTTTGTAAAGAATCTCTCTGGCTTCTGAGTGGAGCAGAGACTGGAGGGGCCAGAGGGAAGCTGGGGCACAGTTAGGAGCAATGGGGTCCAGGCAGGAGAGGGTGGTGGCCTGGCCGGGCACAGCAGTAGTGGGGGCGACAGAAACAGCTGGACTGAGGGTGTATTTTAAGTAGAGCCATCAAGATTTGCCAAAATATCGGATGCGGGTGTGGAAGAAAGAAAGAAGTCGAGGATGACTTCAGTGTCATCCACAGTGGGAGGTACCGTTTCCTGAGATGGAGAAGGGGGGTCGGGGGTGGGACTCAAGAGTCGGCATTTGGACCCATTATGTCCGAGAAGCCTCTATGATATGCACATACTGTGCACTAGGAGCTGTCAGATACTGCCT